TCCATGGCATGTCTTTTGAGTAATCACCTGACTGATTCTGGGTACTGTGCCTACTGTTTCCCTATTCTCTTTCCATGTGTTCAGACCTCCTAGAACGGCTGTAAGAGTGCTTTCCACTAGCAAGACTTTTTTTTAGTGAGTATATTGCACTCAGTACCTGGAGATAGAGCATGGAAATTCAGGAAACCCAGAAACTGTGTTTTCTTGTGCCCAAGAATGAGACACCTCTACCCAAAGGACTGCCCATGCCCAAGGTACTTAACTTCTTTTTATGATACTGCTAATACTGTATAAATAAATGGTTGAAATGTTTGGTGGTAGTACTGTGGGTTATTTAAATTCTTCTAGAAATGTTATTTGGAGTTACCAAAACTGAAGAATAACTCTTGAGACCAAATAAAACCAAGCAACTGGAAAATTAACTTCAATTACGAATAGGAAACTTTTTGAAATTCAAAACAACTTTTTTATTGTGGAAGGTAGATAAAAAGATTTTGATCACTATAAATAAGCAATCTGACAAGTTTATAGCTGTGTAAGAAATGATGCAACAAAGAATGACAACTAGTAAAATGAATCAGTCTTCAGTAAGTTAATGAAGTGCTTTTTATTTTATTCAAATAAAACCAGTAGAACCTGTTCTGGAAATAACTATCCTTAACTTTGGAATGACAAAAGGCTTCCACTCTTGAACCTCAAACTAAACAAAGCCATCAAAAGGAAGACAAAAACTTCCAGGTTATTGCACTGATGTCAAGTAAAACCACAAACCACTTCAATGCTTTCCTGGTGAAGGAAATACTTCAGTGGGTAAGAGCTGTTGCTGAACTATTTCAAGACAAGAGGGGACAAGAAAGAGGCAAGAGTTTTAACTAAAACTAAGTATTTGGGAAATATTAAAAAATTCCTTGAAGCTACTTTAACAGATAATCTGATCAATCATGGTTCTCTTGTTCTCCATTAATTTCAAGTAACATTTTCAAAATCTCTGATGAAAGAAGAATAAGATTTAACACACACAGACAAAATTGGCTCAGATGTGATCATGGATTCTTCAGCCTAATGCCTAACTGGTGCCCTATTTCATATTCTGTAGAAAAAAAATCTCTGACCTCTTTCCTCATTCTAAAATTCTCTGAAACATTATTATGATAAATCCATATCCATTTTTATTTTCTCTTTATGTAAATACATACTGTCATCCTTAGTATTTTTGGTATTAGCTAGAGATTTTTTATTATGGTTCAGTGTCTTTATTCAGGCAAGAAAAGGAACTGAATGTGAGACCTCTGTTCTTACTCAAAGGCCTGGAACAGGGAGTCCAGCTTCAGGACTGGTGGAGCAGTCCCACTGTTACGGCTTGGGACATTGGGTTAAAGGTCCCATCACAAGCTTCAGAAGCAATACCAATCAATGTCAGACACACAGAAATACCTTAGCCAAAATTACAGGGTTCAGTGGTCTTTCTCATACATAATTAAAGCAAACAATCATCCAGCCAATCTGCAAGAAGTCTTTTAATCAGAAAAAAACCCTCAATCCTTGTTAGTAATCACCTTGTCATATAAAATATTTGTTATTGCTTAAGAATGACAGAAGTGGAAAAATCCACTGGGACTTAGATGCAAAAAGCTGGCTGATATTCACGTTTGGAGCTCTTTTACAACTCAAGATGCATTTTTTGAAATTATTTTCTTTCTTTTAAAAGAGGGCAGTAATGTGAGTTATCTGAAGACGGCAACATTTCTTCCAAGATAAGTAGCATCTTACAGGCAGTACGGTTGTTTGCATATTCTGTTTAATTGGCAAGATTCTTCCTAAAGTCTTCAGAAGTGTGTTTTGATTTTTTTTTCTTAAGTGACATTCTGGATTTGAGTACCTCCATTTTTATCTCAAGGCACACTGGAACAACAAAAGCTACAGCTGACAAGAATGGAGCAACTTCCCTGCAAGATCTGTAACCCTGGACTTTTGGAGAAGCTAATGCATCTAAAAGCAATGGACACCCTTCAAAAGCATGTACATAATCAAACGCTCACAGATCAAACTGTGCTTACTTTGCAAATATTAATTTTATTCAACTAAGCATCGCAATTAATGTCCAAATGCTGGAGTAATCCAACACAATTAAGACAGCATCAAGACAGTCATAAAATCGTAACTCAGTACATGAAGGACTAGTAACTTAAAATGCATCCCTTCTAATCGCCCAAGGGTTATGGTGTTACGGGCTATGGCTGTGTGGGGATTTGCCTGTCTGGAGCACAACGAGGTTCCCACAGTTTCGCTTGCAGAGTTGTCCACGGACCAAGAACAAATACAGATGCCACGATATGCAAGCGGTTGTGCTGACCCTGGGGACTGTCCCTGCCCTGCACCTGAGGAGAGCACAGCAAAGGGCTCGCCCGCACCTGCAGGTCCCCAAGCCCCGCCAGCTCAGGCTGAAGGGGGTGATCTTCCCCTGGTTTTTATCGCACTCTCACAGCTTATCTCAGCGGAGGGGATATCCCTGCTGCATCCCTCCTTCCGCCGCCCTGCTCCCGGGAGCAGAGCTGCGGGAGGCCGCTCCACGGTGCCGCCCTCCACCGGGGCCTGCGTCCCGCCGCCCGCCGAGCTAATGGCGGCCGGGAGCCTCCCCCAGCGCCCTGCCCGTGACTCGCTTCCTCCAGCGGACGGGAACTGGGCGGAGTGAGCGGCCCCGGCCCCGCCAGCGGNAGTTCGTCGGGGGAAAAGCAGGCAGAGTCTGCTCCTCGGGGTCTCCTGGGACGAGGGCTGTCCCCCAGCGCGGGGGGCACCGTGCCCTTTCTGCTCAGCGCCCTTAGTGAAACTCCTGTGGCCTTTTCCTCGCACCGTCCCGTCTGGGTGCGCGCTCGGTGCCGTGAGGGTTGCCCTGAACGGCCGAGGTGTGTCGGGGAAGGACAGGTGGGCAGGGCTCGGTGCGCTGGCTTCCCCCGCAGGGAAAGGGGCACCTGTCCGCTGTGAGTCACCTGGCCCCGGTGACAGAATGGGCTGGAGGAGTGTCACCGCCGGCGTCCCTGCTCCTCAAGGGCCGCAGTTCCCATAGAGGAGCTCCATGAGGACAAGTGAGGCGGATCCCACCGCAGATGACCTTCTGAAGGGATCAGAGGAACGAGGAGAGGCGGTCGCTGCCCTTCCTTCCCCGAGTGCAGGCAGGGCGGGAGGATGTTCCTCGAGCCAGGAGCCGCGATGTGACACAGCTGCACAAGGGACCCCTGGTACTGTGGAAGCCCCACAGAAGAACATGTCACGTCTTGATGTATTCAGGGACTGGTTGAGTGGAAGAGAGAAGTAACAGGAAGGGGAAAGAATGGAAATTCCACGGAGGGATGCGGAAGGTGTGCTTGGAGACAAAGCGTGGTGCAGATAGAGACACGAAAGTAGTTGGTGAAGCGGGTAAAGAACTAATGAGGGCAGGGTGGATCAGTATGGGTCCAGCTCCCAGGTAACTCTGTGTTGTAATCCTAACTTGTCTGCTGATGGATCAGGAGGAGGAATGAATAGGTAAGCTGTGGAGCAGATTGCTGCAAGGTGTTATAGAGTCTGTCATGAGACATTCTGAAGTGCACCTGTCAGGACTTAATGAGCCTTGGGTCTTATCTTAATTGCCTCATTTTATCCTGTTCTTTTTTGTAATTTCATGAAATCCCATTCTAGTAAGAAGGATTTCCATCATCTCTTTGATGTGGTGTATTTGTAATCGTCCTTGGAATTTTAAACACTGCACTGGAGGAAGTGTTGAGTAACGTGATGTTACACCAAAGTCAGCCCTGCTTGGAGAAGAGGTTTGGACAAGGTCACCTGCAGAGTTCCTTACCAGCCTGAGCTTTTCTGTGTTCCACAGTTTACCAGAATGTGCCAGATTTATTATGGGTAGTTAGTAACATTTCTAGTGTTAACCTATCTACTGCATCCTAAAGCTGAAGAAATTGATGTGCGGGAGAAGTGAACTAATTTACCTCTTCAGTCAACACTTCCCTCAATGATTAAAAATGTAACACTGACTGAAAGCAGCTGAACAATGCACTGAACTGGATTTGGAGGTCGTCATATTTACTGTGTCCTGAAATGAAGGCTGTCAACGTCTCCTTTGCAATCAGTGGAATACCAGGCAACACATAAACTTGAGCATTGGCAGGATGTTTTGCCTTGATTTGGTCATTGCTTTCTCTTTAAGCTCTACAACTTTCAGAGGGAGAGACATTGTTTAATTTATATAATGTACCAGTGTTGCTAAAATATATTCTTTTGATGCAAGGAAGCAGGAGTGGGTTTTTTCAGTCTTTTATATTTTTATGACTTTTTTCACTGGGGGGAACTTTAGATTCACGAAGTCAGGGCAAAACGTTAGTCTGTGTTCCACAGAAATAAGCAACATAGCATCTTATAGGATCATTTACTTCTGTGAGAAGGAGCCTGATTCTCCTCTGCTCTGTGCAGTCACAGGAGTGCAAAGGGATGGTGAAATGAGGCTGTAACCTCACTTTTTATAATCTGTGGAAGTATGTGGTTTACATGCAAGACCAAGGAGAATTATGCCAAAGTTATTTCTTCATCAGGTTTCTGGAACTTGATTTATCTCTACTCATCAATAGAGTACTTTTATCTTGATTTGTCTCCAGACACTGGCTGAAAGATGCCATAAGAAGTGTCTTAATTTTGAGGTGTTTGGCTACAAAATAGAGAACAAATCATGTCAGCAGTCATGCTAAAATCAAGAGAAGTACTTACATGAAGCTAGAAATTATCTTTCCAGAAGTTGAGATAATGTGAATAATGGGGCCTCCTAAATGTTAGCTTAATATTTGGATTATTGGTTTATTTCAGCAGCATTTTATTTATTTTAGCTGCTATTCCAAAATTTATCAAAACAGCAACTAAGCAAATACACCCATCTTGGTATTTTGTTGCAGTGAATTTTGTATGGTATTCTTAAATGTTAAAGTTTCCAAGAATAACTTCCAAACTGTCTGAATCATTTATTGTTTTTATTATTTTTGAACAATGTGCTAATAACAGAGGCCAAGACTTTCAGAAGTTGGTTCCTGGAGCTGTTATACCTCAAGCCATATTTAGACAAATGAAAAATCTGAGCCTGCAAAAATTCAGTAAAGTTTACAAATGTAGCTGACATTCCTGTATTTGGGAACCTTTTCCAGCAGGACGAAGTGTGTGATTTGTGGCCTACTTCAGGCAATTTCTTTATAACTTTTGAGTTTTGGCTTGATAAACATTATGTCAAGTTTTATCATTTTTGCTTTCCCCAGATTTATTTTTTCACCATCTTTGTACCCTGTACTTTTCACGTTCCTTTGTAGCACAGCTTGAGCACTGTATAGATACAAGATATTTTATTGACATTATTTTGCTCGTTTCAATACATCATTGAAAACAAAACAGAAACCAGATATTTTTGAAAATCAATATGTTTTCAGTTACTGAAATAATATCTTAGTGTGGAAAACTCTTGAGATCATGCTGCTGTCCTTACCAGGGGAGTTTTGTACAAAGGTCCTTTAAACATTTGGGTTCTTGGTATCTGTTTCATCGATTTGGACTTCTCTCCATTCTCTGGTTTTTATGTTCACTTTATTTGAAAACAATACTTTGTAATGCGTATTCCCTTACATGCTAGGATCTCAAACTAGCTTCCCTAACTGCCAGCATCTCTCAGGTAGGAAGTGTTGTAGCAACTCAGCACATCAGCAGAGTGAACTGCTGAGAGCTTTTAAAGTTACTCAGAGTAAGAAGGTACCGAAGAGAACCCAAAGACTGACTCCCAGGTCACGTATTTTAACTGCTGAGCAGCACTAGTTTCTGGCTTAGAAACTTCTCAGCAGAGATGGAAAGATAGTTAATCACAGGCCAGGATTCTTGAAGGATGCTGGTGCTGACTTTTTCAGGACAAGAAAGTTTGGGCAGTGAGTTTTGCAGAGAAGAATAAATGCCTTAGGGAAGTGCACATGCCTTCTGTTAAAATAGTGAAGTACCTTAAAACTTTGAAAATAAATTTCCCAAATTCAATCCTGGATGCTTCAGGTCGATTAGAGATTCCTGTAGTAGGAGGATAAATAAAGCACTTGCTCTTTTACAGGACTGACATGTCTATGAAAGTACTGGAGTTTATGTGTGCCCCTCATGTAAGCAGATGAAGCTCATTAATGTCATACGAGTTAGCTGTACAGATGGAGAGACATTTCCAGTTAGCCTCAAATAGATTGGATTTATCAAAGCTAAGACTAAGTATGGATCATGATTTTGTTAAAGGGACAGTCTTTCCTCTTTAATTATTGTAAAGATCTAGCAAATTCTGGAGCCCAGCATTATTCTGAAACGTCTTTTCTTTCCCTCTCGGGAGCTGTTTCAGCAACATAATTCTTTATTCCTGATAATCGCACCAAAACAAACCAAGGGAATTTGTTTAAGGTAAGACAAATTCTTCCTTCCCCTTCCAGCTTGCTGACAAGGATGAGTTAGCAGAGTGAAGAAAGGACAGGGTATCTCCAAGTGGGTGTGTCCTTGTGTGCCTCTTGGAGATGAACACTCAGTTGTTTGGTCCAGTGACATCAGCTCGCTTTGGCCTTGGCCCCTTAAGAGTTGCTCAAGACAGTAGGGAGTGAATAACAGAGTGTAAATTATCTCACTGGAAAAGGGTGCTTTCAATGCAGTCTGACACTGGAGAAGTAAAATGAGCAAGCTGTGGTGTTTGACCCCCAGTCCTTAACATGGTTTGAATTACTGTTGTCAGCAGGAAGATACTCAGGATTTTTTACATTCCTAATTATGTTGGAAGGACCGTCTATTAGTTGGAACAAGAGCCTGGGAGTCAGGATGTGGCCATAACATTATATCACTTTGACTCTTTGTGCCTCAGTTCCTATCCTTAATAAAAGAACTGATGTTCCATGTGTTTAGAGATTCTGAATAAACAGAATTGTGCAAGTCAAGGGCATGTTATTTCTGATGGATTTTTACTTTTTACTGGCATCTCATTGTAGTTGTTTATGGTTCTTTTTAATATTTCCACTCAGGACTAAAAACTGTTTGCTTTTTTTTCTTTCATTGAAGACTCGTTCTTTGCTCAGTGTCTTTGAAGAAGATGCAGGAACCCTTACTGAATACACAAATCAGTTGCTTCAGGCAATGCAACGAGTCTATGGTGCCCAGGTAATTTTACATTTCTATTTCTTTTGTTCAATGCGGAGTATAAGATAAATTGCTATTATGATGCTGTTATTTACATTAAAGTTGCTAAGTACTTGTAGCTTCTGTGGTTTAAGAGGAGTTGTGGGTGTTTTTCATCTGATCACTGAACCTCTTCCTGCCTTGATGCTCAGAAAACTCGTATTTATGAAAAAAAAGAGTTATTTACTGTGTCTCCAAACAATTAATCAAAGTAAAATTGTGCTGTGTCCTTACTTTTTGGGGAGGCCAGCCATAACAAAATTGCTTGCCAAAATGTAGACGCAATTTCCAGGTCTGCACACTGACTTTAGGCACCTAACTTTGATGCTGTGACTCACCTCTTGGAGGGAACTGCCCATGTCCATTGATTACAGAGCAGATGTGCACTTTGGGTCATACTAAAGTCAAGTGCCTACAGTAGCTGATAAAAAAAAAATGAGCTGGATCAGGAAAAATAACATTTTCTAGAGTGTTTACATGACCTAGATGACTAAATCCCTTTGAAAGTAAAACCTGTATGAGAAATTATATCCATCTCTTTGGAAAATGTAAATTTGAGTGATTTTCAGTGCAGCTGATTCCCATGTGCATAAAATTAGGTGTTTCAAAATGCCATATCTGGATCTTTAAAGACATAACACAATGTCTCATGGAAGTTTTGCAAGTATTTATGTAGGTTAAATTCCTGGGTTCACTAGAAACAGCTTTTCTATTCTTAAACCAGTAAATCACAGTACACAGAGAGATTAAGAGCTATGGGGTATTTTGAATTTCCCTGAAGAGTGCCTGATCCTTACATTATTAGAAATCAGCTCAGCTATGAGTCAACTGCAAGTGTATGTCCATTTGGTGGGATTGCTCTTTGGGTGACTGATGGTTTGACAGTGAAGAATCATTTCTCCAGGATCTGGCTGCCTGTACCTGGAGGATACAGCTTTGGAGAGCTTCAAAGTTTTCATGTCCTGGATGTTGTGGAAATGCAGAGCAGCCAGCAGTGCTTAGGTAGATAGGAAATGATGCAGGGCATGGCCCAGGGAGGGCTTGAGAGGTGACATGAAATCAGCACTGAAAGTCAGGGATAGGCATTTTGGTAGTCATGGTGCTTTAAGAGTAACAAAGAGCAGGGGCACATTGAGTGGTAGGAATCTGACAGCAAAGACTGGGTAGGGTTGAAATGGATGAGGAAGGGAATCAGGAGATAAATCTGATTTTCAATGTCCAGCTTGTGGGCTGCATGCCCCTTTCTGCTGATAATGACATTTTAGGATGTCTTTTTAGGAAGTGCTTGCTGTGGTCTGTGATTCAAGAAAAAAAAAAAGCTTTTTCTGCTTTTGTTTGCCTCTTCCTTTTCATCTTGGTTTTTAGCCTTCTCCATTTCTGTTTCACCACAATTACAAATTTCCTTTTTCTTCTCATTGTCTCAGTATATTTACCTGTCAGTATTTTGAAGTACTACTGAGTCTACTTCATTTCTCTAGCACTTTTTGGCCACTTCTTTCCTGAGCACTGCTTTAGTTTGATGTAAATATTCAGTCATTTGTGAATATTTGATATATTCTTTGAAATAGGTCTTTGGAGTTTGATGCAATTTTGAGATGTAGAAATAGAAGGGTAATGCTGAATTGCCTACTAAACATAAATGGACAGTTAAGAAAAATGTTTGTGCTATTTCTTGGCTGCCTGATCACAACTTGAGAGAGAAAAAAGCGCTTTTGTTGCTGTGTTATCTGGGCCTCAGTAGTAGGTGTTGCCAACTCTGTAAAAGCTGAGAGAATTGAGAAACCTTCTGAATTTGCCTTTTTATTTCCCTGGCTTAAATTTTATCTCTGCAAAGTCAAATTTTCTCTTTGCAAAGTCATTGTCATCTCCTGCTCTGATTTCCATATCTGTAAGATAGGAGTTACAGTTACTGACCTACTTTAAAGCAATGACCATAAAATGACTGGGATCACTGTCATGACAGTCAGACAAAGCAGCAGGGGTTGAGACTGGTTGTACCAGTCTCCAGTACTGAAAATTCAGGGTTTATGCCCTCTCAAAACACTTATGACAGTTTACAAAAATGTTAGTTTTGTTTTCTTCCATAGTTTTTTTTCTGAACTTTAACATTTCTCAGATGTCTTAACCATGTTTTCAAGATTTTTTTTTGGGCTAGCTTACTAGAAGTTTGATGTTTCTTGTGATGAAAACTCAGATTTTCATGTAATTCAAACCACTGTGGCTTGTGATCAAATAACAAGAGTTAACATTGCTTCTGTGCAAAGTCTCAGGGGAGTAGCAATTAGTACGAACTGCATGCTGTTAATTGACCATGTGGATGTATGCTTATAGCTGTCTATAGCTGTCTCAAAACACTGCTCTGTGTGGAGAGCCACACTAAATTTGTAAAGTGACTGCTCAAACTGCTTTAAGCACTTGGATCAGTGCATTTGAAAGGAGTGTGAAAAAGAAATACTTGGCCATATTTAAAAAAAAAAAAAAAACATTTAGGAAAATAGGAATCCTTTTAAAAATCTTTTCAGACATCCATGTGTTCGAGCAGGACTTTAAAAAGAGAGTAAGGAGGGATGCACAGCATCCAGTGCAGCAGTGGCTGTGCTTCCTGTGCTGCAGCTGGGTGATGCATGGGTAGCAGATTGCCCTGGCTGCAGGGCCCTCGGTGCTTTACAAGCCTCTGGTTGCTTTGCAGGATGAGGACAGTGCTCTCACCTTCCTGGGCACCTACACCACATGGGATCAGGTGGTGACTCTTCTGCACATGGAGCTCTTTAGTGAGAAAGGGGCTGTGATGCTACAAGGCAGATGCAGTGTGTTATGCCCTGACAGAGGAGAAGTCACAGGACCCAAAAGCAGTACTTAAGGAGTGAGGTTGCCCTGATGCCCTGAGTAAGAAGTCACAGAACCCAAAAGTAGCACTGGAGGAGTGAGGTGTGGTTGATCTGGCAAACCAATGTGATTAAATACAATAAAGCACAGTGGAGCATTTTTATATTTGTCAAATAAACCACACCTGTGTGAGTACATATTCTGCTTCCTGCTGTAGGTGTCCCAGCTGTGCTGCAGTACCCTGAAATAGTTACCACATTAGTGGTCTTATACAGGAACTCTTCCTTATAGAGTTTATCCCTGTAGTGCTTCCTTCTTGCATGCAAGCCCTGATGTTGCATCTGACATTACTGCTGGTTTCTGTGAATGTTGTGTTTGTCTGGATGTTTTAGTTCCTGATAAATGAAAAATATTATAAGGCAGCAGCAAACAAGGACTGTTGGAAAATGTAATTTGCTTAATTTACAATGCTGAGGTTCTTGCAGTGGTGTATGAGCAAAGTGTGCCCAGTTTACCTTCCTGACCACTATCATGGTAAATTGTTTTTAGAGCTTTACTATCATTACCAGTTCTCCATCAGGCTCTAGAAATGGCTGAGCTGGGAATCAAATGCCTTTAGGAAATTTAGGAGACTCTTGTGTCTCTATATTAGAAGGAATAAACAGATGAGCGGGTGAGAGTAAGACGCAGTATTTTGTCATTGTAAAGAGATTTCATCTCATGAGTCCTGACAAACCTGTCTAGATACAGGGGCAGTGATGTCAGAAGAGGAGTAAAAAGAAACGCATGTTGTCTTTATCAATACATTTGGAGAGGGAATACCATGGGAATTGTGAAGCATGATCTTGTTCAGCATCTCTGTCTCTGTGAGCAATTGTCTTGAGATTCCAGAGGCGCAGAGGCAAAGCAGCAACAGCCTCTGGAGCTTACTGCCTTTTTACATCCAGACTCTTAGAGAAACTCCATAACTCCAAACAGTTATGGAATAGTCTTGGTTTATAGATACCACATTACATGGGTGTCAGGACAGCTTGAATCTGTCGAGCTATTTTAAGTAGTGCTTTGTAAGTGTTACTTCTCTCTGCAAATTCATGGTTCCTCATGTCTGCATTGTTCAGCAGTGCTGCTTGTTTGATTTTCCTGTGTATTGCCTTCAGAAGGCTGTAACTCAATAGGTGGGTGTCAGGCTCTTTAGGCTATGCATGTACTTTCATATTTATTATGTTGCATAGCTAACCCTGGGTGCTGAGAGTTCTTGCTTAATTTGCAAGTAAGCAGTGATACAGCTTTTCTTTTAATTGTTTTCTTTTCATGTGTAAGGGAACAAATTTGTTGCCTTTTCAAATTATAAGACCTTTTTTTCCTAAAATGTTTTGGTGGAACAAAAACTAAGTTAGCATTTTATAAACTTTTAGTTCAACATAGAGAAGCTTCAACTGAGTGTTAGAATGGGACAAACATTTGCAGTAAATTACAGTTGTCATTACTGACTTCTGTGAAATACTGTATGTATTATTATTCCATACTCGTAAGTTTGCATCATATCTCTTACCTTCCTGAGGCATACTCACCTTATATGAATGTCATTGTCTATGTCATTTGCTGACAGAGATGAGCAGAAGATTACCACATGAGAACTAATATATTTACAAAGGCGTGGGAGTTGGGTTTAGTACTGCCTATAAAGTCAGCATTGTCACCGTGCCTGGAAGCAAGTTAACATTGTGCTAAGGAGGATCTGGAGATCTGAGGCAGCATAAATGTATGGATATCCTGCTGATAGTAATTGTTTTGACAGAAGAGATTCTTTCTGTACTGAGCTAACCACCCTATTGTAGCTGCTCTTGGTGTTTCTCAGCAGGGCTTTGACTGGTGGCTTCTATTCCTTGGAGCTATTGGATGATCCTTTGCTGAGCTGTTCCCATTTATAAGGATGGAAAGCCATGCTGTGAATCACCACCAGGGCAAGCCATATGTTAGCCTGATCTTGTAGAGTGCTGTGCAGCCTGAGCACCCCAGTGAGGCTTAGCTTCTGCAACCCTGGGTTCACATTTCCAAGCCATTTAATATGCAAACCTAAGCCTGTGGGACTGTGCCATTTACTAGATTGCTGGATAATTCTGTTTTGTAGGAAGGTAAGCATATGTAAATAGAGCTGCCTAAAACTGTTGTTTCAAGACACAGTTCTTTCTGTGCTGTGTCTGACTTCGAAGGTAAATGTGTGCTGAGTTCTGAAGGGGTGGACAGGCTGCAGCTACCTCATGGGTCTTCCACTTCAACCACATTTCTGGGTCTTTTTTCTCTTTGATGAGGCATCAAGTTTTCCCAGATGTAAGCCAAAATGTATTGTGTGTCATTCTGTGTCCATACAGAGTGCATGGACAAATACCTTTACCAGTGTCATGCTTGTTTATATGAAGCAGCCTTTGGCAGTTCTGTGTTGCAGTTTTAAAAATGCCAACTGTAGCTGGAGTAGGACAGTTGCTTTGCAGAAAGCTTCATTCTATTGGGATTTGAATGGGCATGCTGGAATAGTTCTGTATCTTTAGAAGTTAATTTATAGCTCAACTTAATCCTTTACATGCCTTCAAATCTGTAGTCTGTTAGACAACTGCCTACAGAAATACCTTCGGATTTCAGCAGATTAGTCTTCAGAGTTTATTTTGGAAAAATACAGAGATCCTAAAAATGGATGGACTGCATCACTGGGAAATTGTAAATGGCATGAATATTTTAATACAGAGGTTATAGAAAAATCACTCTCTTTTGATGATATGAACAGCTTAGTGAATAAAAGTGATAATGAAGAAGGTGGAATCAGCCACAAGTCTTTGCTCTGGGCACTAACTCCGAAAATAAGCTGGACTTTTTTTTTCACCCCTGGCTTATTCGAAGGCTGGGTCAGGTATTGAAGTAACTTGAAAATTAAACAGTATTTTTAAATCAGCTGTTTTTCATTTTGGGTAGATTAATTCTAGATTCAAGCCACCACTTCCATTATCTTATCCATTTGAACTAGACTCCTAGAAATCTATTCCTAGGGCTATCATGCAAGCCAGGGTTAAAGAAAAGGGGAAAAAACCCCACATCTGCAATCACTACTCATTTCATTATACTTGTTTACATAAAGTTTTTTCTTTCTTCTGGTACACTTTTTTATATTAGTGCTGCAGAGATGTCTTCCCTGTTAAATAAAACCATCTAGTGTGAATGAATGTATTTGTATGGCCCAATACTGGTTAAGTTTGCCTTCATTTAGAAGGCTTCAATTTATGTTCGGGATTTTATTGAGTTTTTGCTTGATATATTGTCTCATTCATAGCTCTCCCACTCCATAAATGCGTGATGAATTCTGAAATGTCAAGATAATGTGGAAGAGATGTGGAGTCAGGAATGTATTGTAGCTTTTCTTTTTCTGTGGTGTATTGAATTGCAGTCACTTCAGGACAAAGGACATCAGTGTTGCTGTATCCATGGGAAAATGCCTTGGAAATAGATTAAAACCTGTTAAAATAATTTGCCTGGATTTAGTGGATCTGTCAATTGAAGCAATGCAAATAACTTCTAAGTCTTGGAACTGAATGGCATCAGGGCAGGGGGAGGGGAGAAGGCTGATTAGGAAGAAATGGGAGGGGGATTAAACCAAACTTTCCCAGATTAGTATGCTTAGCAATGCAGTATTACCACTAGGTCAGCAGAGCACTTTGCCTGCTTCCTGTTCCTTATGCAATGGACGGTGTTTCAACTTGCTAGCTTAACTTGATTTGTTTACAGTTTTGGGGTGTGTTTTGTTTTGATTTTTGTTTGGGGTTTTTTTTTTCTCCCAAATGATACAGTTAATGATTTTGTACCTCTAATGGAATGGGAACTAAGTCTAGCAGGTGTTGGGAGGGAGGATGAAGGACCCAGGATTCATTTTTCCACATGGGTAGGGATTGAGGATTGAGTAACAAGTTTGTGGTGTTCTGACACATAGAACTGAGCCAATAAATGAAAAATATGACCAGCTGGCAGTAGTGGGTTGTGAGTAATACATGGAACTGTTGTCCCCAAATCAGCCTAAAATCCCCAAGTAAGTTTTGTGTCAGGCACATCTCTCAATTTGTTCTGTTTCTGGAGTAGTAGGCTATGAATGTCTGCTTGAGGTCGGTAATTGACTGTTGTCACCTGATTGTGTACTTGGTAAGGTGTTGTTAATTTACATCCCTTTGAGATCCTCGGGGTTTATGTATTCTGCCATTGTCCTGTCACATACTGGAGATCACTCCTAGGGAGTGATGATCCCTATAAAATGCTTATTCCACGCATCTCTTTACACTGCCCATCTTCAAACTTACCCACACACATGAGTAGTGATGCCCTTTGAATATTAAGTGAGGAAATTGAGGATTGAGTCTAAAAACCAAACTGGCAGAAGCCTTGTGGATGGTGGACACAAAGGAACAGGATGTCTTTGGCCAGGGTTCTTTATGGGTTAGGGATTTTGGTTGGTTGTTTTTTTTATCAGCCCATTATTCTGAAGCTTCTTTTAGTTTAGGAAATTTAAGCCAGAAGCATGTATTATCTGGATGCAGAGCAGGTCACAAAACTGCAGAGTTTGCAGGAATAAGTAAATTGAAACAAACAGGGAAAAGAGGTCTGTTTCTGACACTTGATTTATTTCAGAAGAGTTCTCTCACCCTGATCCAGCTGTACAGCTTTCAGTTGGCATCACAGTACCTGTGTGAGGACTTAGAGCTGGGTAAGAGCTGCAAGAACACCATCTTTGAGGTTGTGTTTATGAAAAAGATGCCAGGTCTGAGAACCTCTGCTTCTTTTTGTAATAATTTTCTCCCAGACGCATACAAACAAACCCTTTTAATGTCTTCTGTATACTTGCAGGGAGTCCTGTCCTCCCTGTCATAAACTCATTGCTTGCTAGCTTCCACTTCGAAGGTGGCAAAGTCTCTCTGGTGTTCTTACTGCTTGGGGACATATAATTTAGGCTCATTCCTATCCATGTCTGACCCCTTAATAGGATTTGGTTTTTTTCATTATAAGGCAGAACATCCTTTTCCATCCTCTGCCTTGGGAAATGCTTAAATACCAAGTATTTGTGTAAAGGAAAATAATCTGCATAATCAACCTGCAAATCTTACAGGAATCATTGGCATTATTGTTGTGTGAAAGTGTGGTCCTTATTACTAATTGGGCTGAGATAAAAAATAAGACTAATCCATCACTGTGAAGTGAGAATAGTCATGGGGTGTGGATGATCCAAGCATGGGCCCACATTCTCTCAGCTCTGAACTCCTGTTGGTACCTCAGAAGGCCTCTGCTGTGCCATCTCCTCCCGCCTCTGAGTGTTACCACCACGGTTTTAAGATGGTCAAAATTATCTCATTCAACTTTTCCTGTCATGTGCTCACATGCAGTTGCTGGTACCTAGGCTGTGGCTGCTTTGGTTTGACTTTTTTTATTTCCCTGAGTACTTGGGCACACTTGAACACTGACTGAATGTTGGGCCCTGCTGCCCATATGAAGTCCTGGCACGCCAAGGCGGTGCATAAGCACCAGGCTGTAATGCAGTATGTCACAGGTGGCAGCAGGCCAAAGCAAAGGGTGTTTCAGGGTCTCTGGCCCAGATAGTTCTCTGTGCTGGGCTCTGCTTGCTCAAAATGACAAGGGACAATAAGAGAGCACACAAGCTCTGTCCCAGTTTTAATGGTTTTCTGTGTCAGCCCTAGTATAAAGGGTTCAGAGATTTGTTCCTAGTTTTACAGACTCTCTATGGCCTTATATATCTGGAGACAGGAATAGTTTTTTAAGGTTTAAAGTTACTAGTTTTTTGCATTTCTGAGCATGAGAAGGATCTGATAGGGGTTAAGACCAATGTCAGTTACCCCCTTCCCTTTTTGCTTTTATTCTTGTTGTAAGTCCTTGTTGACAAATCAGGGACAGAGCAGTTGATATGCTAGTGTTAGGAATACATTGATTAAAGATAGATATATCCAAGTGCTTGTCTGGTTTTTCCAGCTCCCAGGTAAAATTATATACCTTCCCTACAAATCTTACCTGGTGTAAGCACAACTTAGATGCGTGTGTACTTTCAGAAGGAGAGAGATGTGCTGGTTTGTGCTCCTGTAGCCACTTACAGGACATTGGTACATTCCCTGAGCATGACTTCATTATGGAGGCACATCTGCTGGTTCACCTTATTGATGTAGATTTTGGGGGAAAATGATTATGTATGAAACATTCTTGTGCTGGTATGGCAGCCTATGTGTTTGAGGTTGTTCTAGTTTTTGTTATTTTCTTGTGGTGGGGGAAACCCAAGCCTCAAACCAAACTCCCCAGATCTTAGCTCTATTCAAAGTAGTTAAACTATAGATCTGAATTATGTACCTCTTACTTCTGCTTCTCTGTTGTCATGGTTTAAGCTCAGCTGGAAGTTCTGGTAGTCCTATTTCTGGGGCTTGCTCAACCCCATTTCTGTCCCACTCACTCAGGGGAATGGGGAGGAGAATCAAAGTAAAACTTGTATTTTGAGATAAAAGAAGTTTAATAATTGAAAATAAAGCAAAATACAATAATAATGGTAAATTACAATAATGATAATAAAAAGGAAAAAAAGTGATGTGCATTGCAATTTTTCACCACCCACTAATTGATACAAGAGCTCCCTTCTTAAACCCAGACTGGTTTTCCTTTAAGATACTTGTCCTAATTTATTTACTGGGCACAATGGTCCATGGTGTGGAATATCCCTTTGGTCTTTTGGGTTATCTCTCCCAGCTGTGCTCCCTCCCAGTTTCTTTTGAGTGCCCTCTCACTGGCCAAGCTTGAGAAAAAGGAAAAAAATAATCCTTTACTTAGGATAAATGAAACTTCACAAAAATCCAAATCATCAGTGTGTTATCAGCACCATTCTCACTCTGAATCCAAAACACAGCACTCTAACAGCTTCTGAGAAGAAATTAACTCTATCCTAACTGAAAGCAGGACACGTGTGCAGGTATTTTGGGATTTGCTGTTTGCACACAGCTGAATGTTTGTGTAAGCAGTGTCAGATTCAGTCAAGAAGCTGGTAACAAAGTAGTGTTAACAGTAGCACTAGGGAACCTTTCATTATTTCTGTTAACATGTCATTTTTGTTTGTAGAATGAAATGTGTCTTGCCACACAGCAGCTTTCAAAGCAGCTCCTTGCCTATGAAAAGCAGGTATGTTCAGCACATGACTTTGATTTCTTCTCTGCCTCATCACTTGTGAAGTGCTCAGTGCATTTGCTTTGCTTGGTTTCATGTGAAGGCAGTTGTGAATTTCCCCAGGATGTTCAAGTGAGTTGGGTAATTTCTGAGAATCTTAAGAAAAAAACCAAGCAAAGAAGAATCTTAAGAAAAGAGTCAAGCAAATTTAAAAAAAAAAAAAAATCCAAAAGGTACAAAATCTGAATTTATAAATTTATGAAGATACAAGTCAGTTTGCTCTAGTTCTATGACTTTAAAATTAGTATAATAAGAATGAGTACAATAAGAATTAACACTTAATTTAACACAGTAAGTGCAGGGTAAAAAAATGTATATTAATGAGTTTCTGTTTTTATATTTATTTTTATAATTTGTTGCATTTTGTAGAAATATTCATTAGCTTTGTAGTAAAACATGTGTTGTATTTTATGTATTTTGTATTCATCTTTACTGATTTATGGACCAAATGTGTGTTTCTATTTCCAGCATTTTGCCTTAGGTAAAGGAGATGAAGAAGTGATATCCACCCTCCATTATTTTTCAAAAGTTGTGGATGAGGTAATTTGATTGCTAATATTCTCTTTTTACAATACACAATATTAGTGGGGGGTTTTTTGGGTCTCTTCTTTTGATTCCCACTCAAGGCTAGATTGTGCCTGGCTTTTAGAATCATTTCATTCTGGATAATAAAGTTTGATACCACCCTTCCATAATGGTTAGAGATGTTTCTGTGGCTTCATCCCATATTCTATCCTCAGAGCAAAGCTGAACTTCCTAAGGGAACTTAAAAAGAGACTAAAAAAGGATGTGTCATCTAGGCTGGGGCAATCTTTTATTTAATTCCATATTAAAGTTACACATTTCTAAGCTTTAAACACTGCAGTTTGAGCCAAAACTTGCCAGGTATGGATGCTAGGTAGCTGTGAATTGGTAGAGTTGCAGTTTAGTTGCTGTGAGATCATGCAGAATCCAGAGATGTCTGGGGAAGGCTGCAGTACTGTGTGGTGAAGACAGTAAAGCTGTGTGCAGTGAATACCTCCACACCCTGGAGGTTGCTGCTAAGTACTGGGAGTGTTTGCAAATGCTTTTGTTAGACCTGCCCATGTAACATTTCAATATGGCCTTGGTATCTAGGTCCTTCTAGCTTAGGTTTCATTTGTCACAGCAATCTTTCTGCTGTGAGCAGTGCTGTGCCGTCAGAAAAGTCTGTTCTCATTGGTCTGCTTCCAACTTTGATTAAGAAGGCAAAAGGCTGTACTGAGGTCTGCTGTTCAGGAGAGGAGAGAGGGTTGTGGGACAAAAAGTAAGTTAAAAATTTTAGAGCCCGTGGATAACTCTAGGGATGTAGTGAGAGGAATCCCAAAGGTTTATTTATTTTTTTTTAGGCTTTTCTTACTGCATATGTGTTCTTGGGATACTAGAAAGGAGCATTTGTTATCACAAGTTTTGTAGTTGCTTATGTGAACTCCAAATAGATCAAAGCAAGAGCTTTCTCCTTCCCAGGTTTGAGAATGGTGCCATTTGGGGGCAGAAAGCTGAAAGCCTCTGCTCTCTTCTGTCAGTCACATTTTCCCTCACAAGAACTTGTTCCATTCCTTGGCCTCCTTTTCTGTGTGTTAACTTCCCCTTGTGCTTATTTAATTGTCTGTTCTACCAGCATTGAGTTGTATTGTCTTGTGGGAAATCCTGACTTCATCTTTACTTGCATGAGGCTGCCTGGAGGTATCCAGGACACAGAGCAAACAGGCAGGATGTCACTTCATCACCCTCCTGGTGCTCCAGCAGTGTGATTGATAGCTGTCCTACCTGCACCCATCTCATATTCTTAGCATGCCACTGTTGACATGAAAGCCTTGCCTGCCTTCATCCTATATTGTGTCACATGGGTGCTTTTAAACAGCTGAGTGCTGAAGTGTAGAAACACTTGCAAAACCATCAGTGGGAAACTGCTGTGGAGGTAAAATATTTGAGTGGGACCTTTCATTGTGGTTGCCTCCTGTTGTGATTGTGTCCTGGTTAACCCTTGTTCATGGGAAGACTGTAGTTGTGGTGGTGGGGCTGTAACTCCATGGCATTGAGACTTAACAAAAACAGGTTAATAAAGGATAATTACAGTTCAAATCCTGTTGGGTTAAGCATTAGAATAGTCAAATGAATTGCCCTAATCCGTTATGTGGGAACTGAAAAGTTCTTGGATCCTTGGGAAATACCAGGCAGGAATGAAGCATTTAGGGAGACATCCCCATCTGTCTCAGATACTTTAAGAAATGTATTTTAAACACCGAAGTACATTATATCCACTGGGCACAAATGGATGGTGTGTTTTGATGTTCTGTGGTCTGGGTTTTTATCTACATTGTGTCTTAGAACAATTCTCTGTTTCAGCTCAATATTCTTCATTCTGAACTGGCAAAACAGCTTGCAGATACAATGGTTCTCCCAATAATACAATTTAGAGAAAAGGATCTCACAGGTAACATTTATTCTAAGTTTTGATTTTCCTTATATGTTCCTTCTTGTTATTTCATCATAAACTGAGACATAATACCATGTATTAATTTGTTCTTTGATGATTCACAGGAAAGTTCTTGGGTTTGGTTTTTTTTTTCTGCTACAGAATTTCACTGACAGGTGCATGCTTCTACTCAGACAAAACAAGTTCAAGTTCACCACATAACATTTTATGCACCATATGGTGCAAGTTTAAAAATACATAGCTTTGTTCTTTGTTGGGTCACTGTGCTTTTACACCAGTGTTATATCACTGAAGTCAATGATGTTATAATTGCCAGAAGGGAAATTTAGCCATGCATTGAGCTTGCAAACTGTATTTATTCCACTTCAGAAGTTTGGGGCTGTTTGACAAGCACAAGCAAGACTGTTGTTTTAACTTCAGAGAATAGTATATTCCCTACTTTTTAAGGCATCAGTCCTCTTTAAATCCTTGGCATGCAAGGGTAGTTCTGAGTTACCTGATTTCACCAATTTGGGATTTCATTGCTTAAACAACAAGGCAGTAACGCAAACATTTGATGCAATTTCAAAAGAAACAAGCTCATATTCAAGGTCAAGGACACTCTTACCTACCTATGCAACAGAAATTGGAGGTTTTGCAGCAGCATTTCCTTTCTTTTCTCTTTTTTTTTTTAAAGCCCACTGCTCATTTCACTTGTCGCAGTCCCACTTATGGCCTTCATGACATCATTTTGATGTGAGACAAAACAACTACAGCAAAATAAGGACTACTTTAAATTCCTTAGTGTCTGATGGGAAATTGTGAATGCATCCAGGTGCCTATGTTAACAAATCCATTCATTTTTCTTTCTCAGAGTGACAGCTTGCTCAATAAAATAAACTCACTCTACCCTTAATTAGTTTATCATATACTGTCAAATCTAAAGCAGAATTTGCATGGTAAGATGTTAATGCTATAAAAACTTCTTCACCTCTTTCATATGGCCTCAGAGATAGTAATTCTTTTTCCATAGTTATGGATTTTTCCTTCTTGTTCATTAAAAAATATACAAAAATGCATATCAAGCCTGCAACCAAAGCTTCAGTTGCTGCATGACTAAAAATGAAAGGTTCTTCAACTTCCCTGAATGTCAATTTTTTTTTATTATTCTATCCATCACTTTTTCTGATGCAGTCTGTAGAACAGCATTTTTAGTTGAGACTGGGCCACTCTTGAGTTTCATAGAGGGATTAAACAAGGAAGCAAGGAAGAATAACTGTGTTACTGTATTTACTTTTGATCCTGTTACATTGATACATAGAATATTGTAGAAACCTGTAGATTCAAGTTAGTTACAAGTGGAAAAATCTTCTGTCTTTCTACATCTGACTAATAATGAAGCATTCTGGGGAAAAAAATGATGGGAGTGAAACTGATTAATGAGAAGAGTGTTAAAAATAATCAGAGACCATGATGGCATCCTACAATTTCCCCTTGGTATTTTCACAGTTGCATAATGTCTGTTCTTAATAAATGTGCTTTCTTTGTAGCTTTTTTGAGAGAGTTTTTCCAGTTGCAGCATATGTTGGTGGGGACACTAAGAGTAGCTTGTGCCTGACACTTGTGAAGTTAAGTTGCCCGTTTAGTCTGCTCTCTATCTGGATCAGAATCTCACAGCCAGTGTTTGTAATGCAAGCTTCATACCCAGCAGTCAGGTGTGTTAGATACAGATTTCTTTGCACAGAGCAGCTTAGCAAAAACTTTTCCACACTGAGAAAAAGTCATGTACAGCAGTAAGGTTTTAGTTCATACATCCATGAGTCTTAAATTTCTTGGTATCACATAAGCACTCTCAGGTTGTTCAGAGCTGCTGATCTTGTATGATAGTGGTGGGCCTTTTGTCAGAATAAACATACTGAAATGGTGCTCCTTTGGAGAAATGACGCTGGCAGATAAGGCATCTTTCTCAGAGTGACAACTTGCTCAATAAAATAAACTCACTCCACCCTTAATTATCTATCTGCCTATTCATTTCTCTAGCAGCTGATCTGGTTTAGCATTTTCAGGACAGGCATAATGTATACATTTCTGCTGTGGAAGGGCTGGAGTGACTTGGGCAGTAAATATGCCATAAATGGTCTCAATTGAACCAAGTGATAACAGCTGGTTTTACTTGGAATGTTTGATTTCTCTTTTCCAGAAGTAAGCACACTGAAGGATCTCTTTGGCCTTGCTAGCAATGGTATGTGTCCCTGTTTTGTTTCTTTCTATTCATATGCAGCTGTTAGAGCAAAGAAGACATGTTTAATCTGTGCACATACACATCACATTTCTAAAAAAACAATAATATTCCTTGTCTACAGAACATGACGTGTCCATGGCAAAGTATAGCAGATTACCGAAAAGGAAAGAAAATGAAAAGGTAACAAATGTGAAAGGGAAAATAGAATGTTTTCATCAGCCATTCTGTCTGTATTGTTGTTGATTGTGAACTTTGGAGAGTTCATTGCTTAAATTCACAGTAGCTCAAGAATACTTGTGATTTCATTTCCAAGCAGACACAAAGCTTTTAAACATCAACTCAGCAGTTGCACCTGTTTTCTCCAAGTTAGGCAAGTGATGAAATATTGTGCTCAACTAGAGCCCTTCAGATCCATGGGAGCTTTTCAGATAGAAGCAATCCAAGTGACTATAAACAGCTTTGTATAGGCCTAGTGTTGTACAGCTGAGGTGGTGATGCAGTATCACTGAGGATAATTCATTGTGAACTGCCATGAAGCCTTGTGTCTGCTGTTCCTAAAGCATTCCATTTCTTCACATGTACCTTCCTGTAACCATACTCTGTATAGACTGTCATTCCACTGAACAATGCACATAACTCTCTTCGTGGGATTGCTCTACATTCCTCCTTCTTTGCCCACTGGACTGCTATTCTAAAATACATCCCTTTGTCAAAAGGTGTATGGCTGGCCCTGTCCTGAGAGTGAATCCGTTCTACAGGATGGTCCTTGAAAGGAAATGCTTTATGGAACACAATGTGATGTGGCATACTGTGAATTGTTTACCTCTGAATTCTGCATTTGCAGACTTGTGTTGTGATCTCAGCTGCAAATAAATTTCTTGCATAGAGATCTGGTCCAGATATTTAGTGGTGGTAGTTACATAGTTTATAGTGACTGGTGCTCCCCAAATTCATAAGTATTGTGACAGGGAAGGGTTTGAAGTACTTACTTTGGGCTTTTGATTTCCTTTCTTTGTTTCTCATCCTTCATTTTAACCTGGAGAAGTTCTGTAATGAGAGTGATTTAAAAATAACTTGAAAATGATCAGTAAATATATCCATATACACAGTAACACTGTCAACCTCTATCATTTTTTGTTCAGCTTAAGGCAGAAGTGGCAAAAGAAGTGGCAAATGCCAGAAGAAAGCAGCACCTTTCATCCTTGCAATATTACTGTGCCCTGAATGCTCTGCAGTACAGGAAGAGAGTGGCAATGATGGAACCTATGCTAGGATATACACGAGGACAGGTATTGACAGTAAAGTGTCTGTTATCACTTAGACATGTTCCTGGGAAAAGGTAAAACATTGTAGTTCTGGATTTATTTTGAGAACTGACAAATTACAGTGATGGTGGGGGGAAAACGATTTGCATTCAGCTTGCCTAGATTCTAACAACAGATTTTGTTTGTGGCAGATAGTTGATAGTTTAGATATTCAGGAAAGACACTAATGACAAGAAAATCCAATACACTTCTATGCAAAATCAGCCTTGGGTTAGTTTTTTCACAGCTGAGCTATCAGTGCAGTAGCATTTACTTCCACTGTTTACTCAGTCTGCACAAACTCTCCTATGTAGCAGTTCCCTTCCTGGCACATAATGTTCAGCATACTGATGAGGAGTGTGCATGATGAGGAACAGAGCATGCTCTGGAGAGCTGGAAGGACAGAACAGTCAAGAGGATTGAGCATAAGGCTGGAAAATCCTTTTTCCAATTTTTCTTCTAACAGCAATTTGATAGAGCGTTTCTCAAGTCTGATAGTGTGACCCTCCAGGATATCAGGAGGATCAGCAAACCAGTATTATCACAGCACTTGAGTCTCACTGTCACCCATTTTAAGGGTCTTTCATTTTGATGAAAGAAAGTGTTTGGAAATGAGAATTGGGCTATGAAAAGCAGAAAATTGGATGTGGTGCTCAGTTTGAGGTTGGAGTGTGGCTCATCATCATGATATCATTTTGCATCCCACGTGCCTCATTTAAAATAGGTAGTAAATGAGGATTCAGTCACTTTCCCCACCATGGGAGTTCACACTGATTCTCTGCTGTAAGTATCTTAAGTGTAAGAACTGCTTTGGTTTCCTTTACTGGAAGCCAAACAGAACTTTCTTTCCCTGTACTTCATCTGGCAAAACAGCTGTATCTCAGTGCTTTATACAGGGAAGTCTCAGGTTGTCATGGAAATGACTGAATAACCAGAAGCCAGTTTATGTTGATGCTTAAATATTGTGAACTGCCTTTCAGCACAAATATTTATTTTCTTAATTAATTACTCAAACATGTGTCTGCAGTTTCACATTTCCGACAAATGAGTAGGTCAAATGGAATTTTTGGAAGAAGCAGTGGCTTAATAGAGGGTTCATTTGACTGAAAACTGGCATCAACATTTATCATCAGCGGAATTTAGAGCTCTTTCCTCCTGAAGCAGGCTTCAGAAATAGAATAGGTGAATCATTCTTTAGAAGGACATTCTTTCTGTCCTTTGTAAAGGGAGGCTGTGGTCTACACCATGGTTACAGAAATCTGAATCTTGGGAATCCTAGGTCCCAAGGTTAGAGAATGGGAGTGAAATCACAAGTTAAAGTGGATGAAATAGCTAATAAATTGCTTAACATCCAAGAATTTGATTTTACATCTCTTCGCAGAGTAGATCACTGATTTTTATGCGTTTACCCTAATTAATTGCACACACATCCTAGCTGTATCCGTGTTTCGCTCAGTTGCCAGTAGGCTCTAATGATGACTGTGCCCTGCAGCAGATAATACAAGGTCAAGTCTCCACCAAGTGCTTTTCTCCTATTGTGTGCCCGCTGAGCCATACCAGCTAAGAGAATTAATCTTCTGACACAAAAGGTGCACTTTGGCCCTAGTAGCTTTTTTAGCTCCTTCAGTAGAACAAAACCCATCGTAAAACTGTAGCTGATAGAATAAATTGCCCTTGGAGGCTTCTGCAAGCACAACTACGCTTCCCTGACTGACTTTGCTACAGCACTTTGAAAACTTTTATGGTGCAGTTGGTAGTTCAGGTTGGACTGCTAAATCTAATGGATGAGCTGTGTCCCATTCCCTCTGATAGGGTGGCACTGCACACAGAAGTTACTAACACCACGAGCCCCAGCCCTGCCCAGTGCTAGTGTGGAAGAAGCTACCTGTTCCCTGATTTGAGTCATTTAGCAAGTTCTTTGGAAACATACCTTGTCAGCAGCCAGCAGCTTATCTGTGTGTGAAAGGGAGGAGAGTTGCAAAAGTGGGAAGTAGCAAGAAAGGCAACGCAGCTGTTTTGCCCATGTGTTTGATCGCCCGCCAAAAGTACCAGTCATAATGGGAGCACTGTTAACACTTCCACAATCTGCTACTTGTCTGCCAAAGCCAAGAGAACCTTCAGTGCCCTTTTTCTTGGTATTTTTCAGATCAACTTCTTTAAGAAAGGAGCAGAGATGTTTTCCAAACGAATGGACAGCTTTTTGTCATCTGTTTCAGACATGGTTCAGAGGTAACCTAGTGCTTTTGTTTGCTTTTGTCATGCCCTTGGAGTCTGAGCAGTAGTGCTCTAACCTTCAGCACATACCATACTCTTTTTCTTTCTAATTAGATTCCTTCCATGCTTACATTGTGTTGTTGGGCATATTATGTTGAAAGGAAATGTTTGTACATGGAAAAGTAAATGCTGTCTGTACACTGAAGAGAGTATTTTTTACAGTATAGTCAGAAACTATATACGGTAAAGCATTCACATGCTTTCTTACATCCCTGTGTCTCTTCAGGAACAGAAAAGCATGCAATTTGGGCTAGAAATGGGTTACTAGTATTAATATGATAGACTTAAGGTGCTTTCTGAATTATAGGTATTTATATTTACTGGGTCTTCTGTAATAATACAGCAACAATAATCCATTAACCTCTCAAATAAGGATTTAAGGCCTAAAGTGTTTGGTGATGTAGCTACACAAGGCAAACAAAATTCCTCACCCTAGGTAACATATTGGTTGCATCCAGTGTAGGCTGTATTAGTCCATTGAGTTCAACATGCTTTGGCTGAGTCCTAAATTTCAATGAACTGCTTTTGTACTCCTAATTTTGTGATAATTTTTTCTTACACCTCCCCTCCACATCTTCTACTTGTAGTGAAGAGTTTCTTTATAATTAAGTTCCTGTAAATATAAACTTTACACTTGAAATGTAATCATAATAGAGAGAGCATATGTTAAGGGGTTGTGATGGACCACAAAGATAATACAGTCCCAACTGAGTCCTTGACTTCAATGCTTCATTCCTTTCATATCAACCTGTAGCCAAATCATTACTTATTCTCACTCTGGTGGCACTTTAAATAATGCATACTTGTTAATTTGAGAACCATGCTACAAACAAGTGCTCTGTACAGTAGATTATTTCACTAAATGATTCTTTACTTTCTGCACTTTCATACTTGTATATCTTTGCACACTCACTTGTAAAATAAATCTCTCCATATAGTCTGTACAGCATTTGTGGAGACTGGAGGACAGATTTCAAATTCCATTGAAATAGTGTCTATTGTTTAGTAAGTCTAAGGCATCTTACTTGTGTCTTACAGGCACTGGGAGGATCCTGCCATTGTATCCTCACCATAGAATAAGCCCTTGTTTTCCACAGTTGGATGGATTTGAGTTCTGGACAGTGTGCAGTAGTAAATGGAAACAAAAATAGGCTGCTCAGTTATTTTGCTGAATCTGGTTTTTGTGTTTAAAATCTGTCACACAGTAAAAAAGTACAACTCAAATGTAACTAGTAAAGGAACGTGATGTCTTTGGAAAAACCAAGATAGAAGCTTGTAAAATTCTGAATGGCACTGTGCAGCAAAGAATTACTGACACAGGGCAGGGTTTCATGACTTCACTTTGCACAGCCACTGAAAACTGTGCTGCCCACTCCTCTCCTTCCTTAGTGCTGGGGATCACAAGGCCTCAGTGAGTCAGATCTGCTTGCTAGTCAAGCTAAAAGCTTTCCACTTGTCAGCTTTGTTCCTTTGGAACAACAAGCTGATGTGACCCATTGTGCAGCTGCAGAATTTCAGTGGTATTTAAAAGCATTTTCATTTATACAGTGAATATTGCAAATGGTGTAAATCTACACTAACACGTTCTCAGTAACCACTTGGCCTAATTGCCACAAATGCATATCACTTCAGAATTGTCAGCACTTTTCTTCCTGCCTTAGAGAAGGGAGAAGCACATCTTAGGAAGAGGAATACAGTCTCAGAAAGCATGAAGGTGGCAGGGGTGCTTTGTCAAAAGCATTTTTTAGTGCAACGGAGATTAAAAGATTCATTGAAATAAAACTGAGGTAAAAACTGACAGCAGTTCCACTGTATTTAAAAACAGAATTTAAATAATTCTTGTTCTGATATCAAATGATGGAGTGGAAAGGCATTAGCTTGCAAAATATGGTCCAATTTAATTCAGATTTGATGTTTTCTGAATCACACCAAAGCAGAACACAGTATTATAAACAAAAAATTGAAGCTGAAGTGAGATTTGAGCTACAGCTTTTGTTAGTGTATTGTTCTGAGTTAATTAAAATCCATGACCAGTTACTAGTTGGTGTCAAGGCAGGAATTCCTGTGTGTTACAGACTTGGAGGGATTAGACAAAGTTCTGTGAAAGCCAAGAGATCCTCTAGTACAGCCTGCTTTGAACTATGCCACAATACTAGGGCAATGTCTGTATGTGTTCAGCACTGTAAATTCATAGAAGCATTACTTTTAGAAGCTGTCTCTCAAAAAATAAACTTAACTCTTATTTCTCAACACAACATTCCTCATGTGCTCATTCCAGTATTATAAAACACTATTTCCTATAAAGTCTATTCAAAAAATAAATTTCATATTTGCACTACCCGCCAAGGTAAACTCAGATGGTATTTTTGTTCATTTTGGCTTACAGATGTTACCTGTATCCTGGTATAAATGGTTAATGATGGCTTTGGGTGCCTTTTTGTATTGTTGTTTGTTCTTTATTTTCCAGCATACAGGGAGAGCTGGATGCGGAAGCTGAAAAAATGAGAATTTCCCAGCAGGACTTAATTGCAGTTCATGAATCTGTTTACACCCCAGATTCTGATGTATCTTCACCTGCCATCAATAGAAATCTCATCCAGAAGGCTGGCTACCTTAATCTTAGAAAGTAAGAATATTATTGTTATCTGCTGGTTTGTTTAGTGGCTACATTTTTGGGGGGGAGGTAATAAACATCAGATATTGATGTTTGAGGGTCCTGAATCAGTTTGGTAGCTCTACTTTTCATCCACCAAGTACCTCTGTCACCTTGGGAAATGTGTTTTTGAAGCTTTGACCAAATTAGAGGCATTTGAGACTATTTTTCTGAAAACAGAATTTTGTTTCTGCTTGAATTTACCTACAGGAATAATTTCCTGCATTCAAGTGGCTAAAAATTGGAAGCTGATGAGGCTGGGTTAAGATTGTTCCCAGATCTTAAGGAAGACACAATGTTTACAAAACAATATATATTTTGTAGTTACTACATATTTTTATAAATATTCTCTTCTACATAAATGAAAGCTTAAGGAACAATGCAAGTTTGTAACTTTGAATGTATATCATATGTAGAATTACTTCTGTAGATTTTACATATAAAATTTTCCATAAACTTCCACAGGAGTTAGATATATTGGTGGCATATAATAACTCTGTTTATGGGAATGATTAATTATCAGTTTATTATTTTGTTTGTCTAGTAGTTTTTTCCTTTGTGAGTGTACATCTGTTAATTTCTCACAGTATTCCAAAATCTGGATTACACTATTATAGGACTCTATAGCTAAGTAAGAGATGATCAGTAGTATCTGAGATACTACTGCAGTAGATACTTTTTTATATTATGATTCTTTGTGCTGAAATTGCTCATAGTATTTCATGTCAGTTACTCAGTACTCTTTTATGCCTTAACTAGAAAAGACGATTTTTAACTAGGACGTTTGGAATTAATTAAATTTTTTGGTTTTCATTAAGGATTAGTCTCTGCTAGGAACAGGTGCTGCTTTTTCTTCTTAACAGAGACCCATCATTAAAAAAAAAAAGCCAGGGTGAACATAGAGTTCTGATTAGCATCAGGATATGTTTGCAGTTTCATACCTGTTCGGAGTTACTTCTAAATAGTTACGAGTCTTTATCACTGCATCTTCTCATCAGTAAAACAGGTCTGGTGACTACAACTTGGGAAAGACTCTATTTCTTCACTCAAGGTGGCAACTTGATGTGTCAGCCAAGGGGAGCAGTAGCTGGAGGATTGATTCAGGACCTGGATAACTGCTCTGTTATGGCTGTGGACTGTGAAGACAGAAGATACTGCTTTCAGATCACTACTCCTACAGGCAAAACGTATGAGACAGGTTTTGTTTGAGGACAGACAGTCACACCTACCCCTTCAGATGCTCTTTCCTGTAAAACTTGTTTGGTATAGTAGTAAGCTTTTCTGGGTTTCCAGAAGAGTGTTTCCAAAATAAAAGCATATTCCTTCCAATCCTCCCCCACAAGTGCCTGAATGGCACATGTGGTGTCTTAGCTGCAGCTTATTCATGATTCTTGTTCCTTTGGTGGTTAATAGATGTAGAGTTTGGTGATATTATAAACACTGGAGTCAAAGAATCCTGGTGTCCACTGTTAGCACTTATACACTGTGTTTATATTTTAGGGGTATAACTCTTCAAGCAGAAAGCAAGAAAGAATATGAGGAGGTAAAAATATTTTCTTAATGTTATTATTCTTGCATACAAGTGAGCTTGAAGACTTCAGTTTCATTTTTCCCTTACAGTGGATATGTGCTATCAACAACATCTCCAGACAGATCTATCTCACTGACAATCCAGAGGTGGGAGCTTGTTTTCCATCTTTCAGTCCATTCCTTGCTCTCCCATTATTCTTCAGATGGTAAGGTAAACTACATGTCTAAAACAGATGTTCTGTCTTGTTTTCATAGGCAGCTGCAATCAAATTAAATCAGACAGCCCTGCAAGCAGTGACTCCCATTACTAGCTTAGGAAAAAAACATGAAGTTCAGCATCCCAGGTAACGTTCCCCCTTGCATGGAGCAGGGACTGTGTGCAGTTGAATTGAGCCTGGGGCCAAGAGGTCTTAAGGAGATGTTGGGATTGTCACTGAAAAGTGTAGATACAAGTCCAGGTCTCTGCTGGTAAGGCAACTGTGAATTTGGACAGGGCAGGGAGACAAATGGCCACCTATTGCTGAAGGTCAGCCTATGCTCAGAGTTGATCTGCATTCAGGTTTAAAATACCAATGTTTACTTTTGTCCTAAATAATATTAGGTTAAAAAAAAAAATATTAGAGTCTTCAGTGACAGGCAGATAGGAAAATATCTTACATGTCTGCATAGTGATTAAGTCCTGCTTTGGGTTTTTGAATAATCTTGTCTCCCTTCCAGAGCAAGGGTAAAGCATCAGTGATGGATAGAAACATAATTTTTTTTACATTTGCACTTTAGCCAGACTGTGAAGAATATGGAAAATGACAAAATAATTCCCAGTGAATCGGCTGGCATTCAAGACTCCACACAGCTTATTGCTCCTGGAACACCAATCCAATTTGATATCGTACTGCCTGCCATGGAATTTCTGGACCAAAACAGAGGTGGCAGGTATGGCCAGAGACAGTGATCCATCAGTGTAACAGTGTTAATTTAGGCGAGATGAAGCATTGCAGCATCTGTTTGTGGTGATGACCAGAATCCGTAATTAAAGATTTAATTCTTCCTTCTACAGGCGTGCAAATCCATTTGGGGAATCAGAACACAGCAGCAAAGATGAGGAGGAAGGTCAGTGCTTCTTTCTTCCAAATAAAGTTAGTCATGAGTTTAGCTAGTGTCTCTTAAGAAAAACAACTGACACTGTGGAGCAGAAGTAAGAGACCCATAGTAAAGTGACCTTCCTGTACCAGCACATGCAGTGCCTGGCCCTGGCTGTTCTCCTCTTACCCTGTGCCTGGAACTTGCAGCCCTGTCAGAAAACAGCTCTCAGAACCAAAGCAGTATCTACTGCTCTGAACATTCACCCTGCTTTCCCTTGCTCACCACTGGCCATAAAGGGAGCCTGGTCAAGTGATGGCTTTGCTGCATAATGGCTGCTTAGCTGTCATTAAATCTTACGGTGACAGTCAAGGAGCAAGGAAGGATTTGGTGAAAACCTCACTGGGCCTAGCTGCATGGAAGGTCAGAAGGACACAGAAGAAAGGGAAGCACGTACAAGGCTTAATGGAAGCCAAGGCTTGTGCACAGTACTAAATTCATCACAGTTTATGTGCATCCGATAGCAAAACAGGCAAGGGAATTTTATTCTCTTATCAAATGAAGCATAAAGGACCAGTCACACTTTTAAAGCTTCCAGGCAACTGCAGTAATTTTCTTCCCCACCTCCACACTGCTGCCTGTTCACAGTTTGAAACTGGGTCAGGGCACTGTGTGACTCATGGCAGAAAGCCACCACTCATGACGGTCACCAACCACAGGCTTACTGTTGAATTTCCAAAGTGAATAAAATAATTCCATTGATAGTTTGAGCTACTGGAAAATTGAAGTAGCACAGTGAAGGAAGTCACGGCTTTTCTCTTGCAGATTCCCTGCTGCAGCAGATGTTCGTGGTTCGGTTTTTAGGGTCCATGGCTGTTCAGTCCGATGAGACGTGCGAGGTGATTTATGAAGCCATGAGACAAGTGTTGGCCGCTCGGGCCATTCACAACATCTTCCGCATGACTGAATCCCACCTCATGGTCACCAGCAAGAACCTGAGGTACTGTAAAAGCATTAACTTGTCAAAATTCTGTTCTCTTCATGCATTCATTCATGTGGCTAATTATGTATCATTGGTTTTGTTTTTCTGAGACACACCCTTTGAGGAAGCCAGATCCCAAGAGTCACTTTACCTAGAAAGAAATATCTCTTTTCTTATTCTGGAGTACCTAGAAATGATCCTCCAGACCAAATTGTAGGAATGTCCTATCAAAATCTAAGGGATGCAGAGGGCCTTTTTGTCAAAGGTACAAAAAAAGATGCAAAACAATGGATTGGAAGATTCTCTTTCCTAACAATGTCCTTTAACAGTAGTGTCACTGTAGAATATGCCGGTATCAGACATTCCCTTTAGCTGGGGTGTGTTTATGTCCCTCCACATTGTGTTAGCCCAGGCACTCAGGATGCTTTCTGGGTGACTCAGAAAGGTGCTCTGACCTGTGCCTGTCAGGGAGCTGAGTCAAGGCCTAGATTTGAACCTTGCCATCACAGCTCAAGCACCTCATTCTGTGCATGTTTCCTCCTCTGTAAAACTGCTGGAGTTACTGCCTTTCTATTATAAATGCCCTTGAAATTATCAGGAATCACTTTAAAAAAATTTTCTTTTTTTCCCTACTAATTGCAGGTTAATAGATCCTCAAACCCAAGTTACACGAGCAAGTGTAAGTAACTTTTTCTATCACAGCAGTGACTACTCAGTCACATGAACCTGAGCTAGCCCACTAACTTGAGCTGATTAAAACAAATAAACTATTTCTTTTCCAGTTTGAACTCACCACTGTGACACAGTTTGCTGCCCATCAGGAGAACAGGAGACTGATTGGCTTTGTGATCCACCTCAGTGAGACTCTGGGAGAAGACTCCATGAGCGCATATGTTTTTGAGAGCAACACAGAAGGGGAAAAGGTTTGCATAACCTTTAATACAATTTTTCATTTAGAAAAGAGGTCTGTGGCTTCTTGGCTTACACATCTGGGAAACAGTGCTATAGAAACAAGAGCAGCTCAACTTCTGGCCAAGAAAGCCTGTGTTAACATGCAAGCCTTTACTGGCTTATGTCTAAAAAGGACCAAATGAACAGATAATGCAGCAGCATGTATAAGGAGGAAAGAATGGGATTGCTAATCCTAGCATTAAGAGAGATGGGAAAGTGCTGTCCAGCAGCACCACTAACAAAAGGAATGTCAGGTATGTTGAGACATGTACAGCTGTGAAGCCGTATGTGCTAACACCACTGGCTGTTTGCTGCCTGCTGTAACAGAAATAAGGAGTGAGATGCAGAACTTTTGTCCCTACAGACACTCCCCCAGGTGTGGGAATAAAGTGTGGTGACTAAATCTAACCAAGCTGAGTGCAAAGATTACCAGCCTCTGTGAGCTTTGAAGCTGAACCCAAGATAGTGTTCTTTATTTAGCATAGCAAATTGGTATTCCACCTCTGCTTTTAGACCTGGTTTTAAGACTAAGTTTGCACTGACATTTGTGTGATTTACTCTTAATTAAAAAACCAAACCACAACTGAACAGAACTTTACATTTATTTCTTCTTTGTAGATTTGCTATGCCATTAGCTTGGGAAAAGAAATTATTGAGGCACAGAGGGTAAGTTTGTTTAATTCCCCACATCTGTATGATATATCACATTCTGCTTTTTGGCTGCACTGTCCAGGTACCTCTGGTGTGCACAAGAAAAACAAACTGCTACCCCTCCTAAGGACAAAGTTTTGCAGATATTGTTTGATTTCTCAGTAACACAGTTTGAGATAAAATGTGCCACCCCAATCCAAATTCAAAATTACATAAATCCAAATGTTCATGTCTGAAAGTTATGAGCAAAATTTTCAAAAAAAACCCAAAACAAACTAACTCTTTGGACTGATGTATAAATCACAAACACTGCTGTTTCACTTTTAGAAACTTAGATCTTTTTTTCCTCACCTAGGGATGAAAATCACAGTGTTTTTCCACTTTAAATGAATGGTTGTTACCAGGTTCCTTGTAAATACATTTTATCAGTACAGATGTGACATTATTATTTGCTGTATATTTTTGCTGCTAAGATTTCAGAACAAGATGGGGAATGAGCTTTTAGTCACAACCACTAAGCATGTGTTTAATAAATTCTTGAGGCAGTTACTTTTTTCCTGGCTTTTCAATAACTGAAGAACAGCAGAATAAAGGCTCAAAATTAATTACTTTTTTTTTCTTCTTAAACACCCAAGGGTTGTCTTTAGATAACCAAAACGGTACTATTTATGTTTCAAATCTTTAGAGTAAAGCTTGTTAAAAAAAACAAAGTTGCAAAAGCTTAGCAAGAAGTACTGGGCAGCTTGCTGACCTCTCTTCTTTTTCTTTAGGATCCAGAAGCATTAGCTCAGCTAATGAAATCTGTGCCATTAACAAGTGATGGGAAGTTCATACTTCTGAATGATGTGTCAGAAGAGGATGGAACCATGCATGAAGGAGGGGAGGAATCAGAAGCATAAGCAGCTCCTGTCACTTCCTGCAGCCTGTGGGAGCAGCATAAGCAGGGAGTCTTCTTGCAAGAATCTCTGGTTTTCGGTCACCTGCGCACACCTGAGGCCAGCTGCCCTTTCCTGCTGGAGAGCAGTGGTGTCTTTGCAGCGGAGTCCCTTTGGATTAACAGCCCAAGCACAGCAGGACTGACTGTGCCCTCGAGGCATTTTGCGTTTGGGAATGTGTAGGGTGGAGCTGTGTCTGCAGAGCTGACAATCCCGAGGGGAGCCCCGTGCTGCTGGTGGGCAGGAGAGCACAGCTGTCAGCCACCGAGGGTTAATGGCATTTCTTACATTTATAGGGCCAGCAGCCTCTCATTCCACTGAAATTCGCGTGAGCTGCCAGCTCCGCTAACAAATATCAGGCTTCAAATTTCCTACCATAGTCAATTTTCATAGTTTGCATTATGTGCATCTGAATGAAGGTTAAAAATGCACTATCTACTTTATTTCAGATGAAGTTACTTTTAGTCTAGTTTATGTATAATGAGATTTAGCTTTTGTGTTAGCATATTTACAAAGCAATTTGTTAAACACTAAATATTTCCTATTAATATAATCTATTTTTATATTGCATCTAGAATAAGCTTACAAAACAAATCTAAGTGCCTGCTCTTACCTTCCATGGGACCACACTCTCACGTTCTGTAATTAAATAACGGGCAAAATGTACCTCCTTGATTTATTATCCTAAATACCACTGATATGCAAACCTCAGAAGTAGGCAACGAATGTGGCATGTTAGCTGTGTGCAGTTTTTTCTATGGTTAGGTTTCTTGCCAGAGATGGTAACAGTAGGACAAATAAGTACTTTTATAGTAAGAATTCTTTGTATTTTTAACATTGTGGTGACATGCGACAGCTGAGTCTACCAGCAACCTTTGGTTTTAAGAAACTGAGCAATAAAATGTTAGATTACAAGTCTACAGTGTATTGACAAGTCTCATAGTACCTTCCTGAGATTAGACACTAGAAAGATTTGGCTAGTAAGTTTACATTTCTTTTCTGTCCTGCAAACATCAGCAACATTACTTTGCAAGAAGAAACAAAACAGACAAAATAAAGAGCTGTTGGGGGAGGGGGGGGAGGTGTAACTTGTAGCACAGTTTATATTAATCAGGATCAGGTACCTAACTCTTCTCAGTCACCCAGAGACTAGATTTTCCAGAAGCAGAATCTGCAACAGTATCTGAAAGACCCCAGCCTGGAAGTGTTTGATGTGTAATAAATGTTATTTAACTGGTTATTGAATTTTTAAAAGTACCATGGAAGAAAACTGTTAGTAACTGACACAAAAACTTCTTCATAAATAAAAGATGAAGCATTCTTATTAAAAAAATTAACACTGAACGGGTGTTACTGAAAACACTGGGAATGAGGTTCTCAAAATTGCATTTATTAACACAGTTTTATGTACATAATGTTCTCTACTCACAAACCAAAGAGACTGGAGTAACAAAATACCCTTTTGTACAATGAGTTAGGAAACATTAAGTATTACATTTGGTCCTTTGTACCTGAGAAGCTGAAAACAGCTGTTGATGGACGTCTGATGCAACTCAAATTTCCTTCTGGTTCCAGGCTGCATTAGGACTTGCAGAATGTGCCCTTTCATCACCAGGAGTTTGCAGCAGGTGGGTGCTGCTGGGGCCATGCAAACCCTTGGTGGCAGGGCTGACAGGGAGCTGTGTGGCCACAACCCCTGGGAGAGCAGCTGCTGCCACTTCCAGCAGCCTTGGCACAAGGCTGAACACCTGAGGGCAGTGGTGGCAGCTGCCTGCTGGGGGTGAGAGCCTGGCCTTTCTAACCCTGTCCTGAAGAAAAAAAACCTAAATTCATCATCCTCATGTCTATCACTCCTGGGCATTTCTGAGTGAGCACATCTGGTTTAGTTAAGAGGACTTTTTGTTTTAGCTCCATTGTCTTCATCTCCAGACAACCAGTCAGGGTCCATTTAGTTCCCGTAATTGCAACAGGAGGCCAAAAGCAACAGAAAGAGTAGTAGCACCACAGCATGAATTTTGCCCCCCTTCCATATCCTTGTGGGGAGAAAAAAGGATTTAATTCAACTCAGTGTCACGTGTGACATCCAAACCCAGGGCCCACCTTGGATTTCAGGTAAGAAAAATCTTTCTGCATGTCTATGCTGCTACATGACAAAGAGAAAGAAGGAAATACAGACTACAGTCCTGTATTAGGAAGAATAGCTCTATTATCACTGTACATATTTGTGTATGTATATATTTTTGCCACATAGAGTATACATTCAGTTCTCCCAGATTAAACACGTGTCTGTAAAAATAGGCTATGTCTTTCCTCTAGAATTTCCATCACCAGAACCACGTGAATTTGTTAACCACCGTACATGAAGACAGCGCTCAGTTCACGTTATGTTCAACTGCAAAGTCTTACCATAGCAAGATAATGTCTTTCCAAAAGAAAAAAAAAAAAAGATGTAGAAGGGAAAATACAAGTGCAGACTAGAGTGTGGGCTGTGTCTTGACCATACACGGCTCCCTAGCAAGGCCATCCTGGGGAAAGGAACACCATCTATGGGGTGATTCTGCCGTTGCTGTGAAAGGAGGAAACGCAGCACTTGGCCATTCCACTCCACGAACTTAGGTGACTTCAGCAGAGATGGGAATGTGGAAGGATGGGCACAGCAACTGCAGCAGGATGGGAAGCAGCAGCAAGAATGCTGATCTTGGCAGTGCTACTGAGCATTCAGTGCGGGCACAGTTTGGTCAAAAAAAGTGTACACAAATCAAAAAAAAACCAAAAACATAAACCTGTATCAAAGTAAAAAAGCAAAAATATAAATCAAGTAATGCAGCATTCTTTAGGGCAGTTATAATGAATTAAAAATAAAAACTTTAATGAGCCCAGCTGATTTTAACAGTCCATGAAGCTTGTGTGTCATGTTCTCAGAACCAACAAATGGAACGTTCGTATCAGTCTGGTCTTTCCAGTTGCGACAAAACATTCATCCTTGCTGTCTGAATGCTGAAGTGACTGGCAGGAAAGGGTGAATCAAAAATACATCAGGAATTGTTTTAACCAATGACCCGAGAGTGGGTGGAACAATCCTGAACCACTAAAACACGTATTAAAGCAAGTTTGGTCTAAAAAGAGAGTTTAAGAGTGCCAAAAAAAAAACCCCAAGGGTAATTCTCTCAGCTGGACTGACCAGAATAGTTTATTCTGGTTGGTAAGAACTAGAAGGGTGTTATGTTCTGGGAGATTAAAACACACCTGTATATTTTAATAGAAGTGGTGTTTTCTTTTAAGCTAAGTCTAGCTACTTAAGTTAGGAATCCGAATAACTCCTGCACACTCTAGAACCTCTACTTGCAGGCATGGACATATGTTATACAGAGTTCTCACAGTGTTCAGCAGCTTCTGAGCCTGCAGTGCAATTATTGTTAATAATCAGGCATGTAAGACTGTATGAACAACACACGGTACAACAGACCTACAAAGGCTAGGAAATACAGAATTGAGGCTGAAACTTGCAATTAGGCACAACATATTCATGAACTGTAAGATCACTTAATAGTTACAGACACCCATCACAGTGTCTGGTCATAAAAGGAAGAGCTGATTGTGGTTCTGTCTCGGCTCTGGATTTCCTTACTTCTGTGGATGCAAATCAGACCTTCAGTATGAAATGAGAAGTAATTTGTTATGTTCACTTTTCTTGTTTTCCCATTCTTTGATAAGGGGGAAAAATGAGGGGAAAAAAAATATTTGATGGGATCCTAAGCTCCCACAGTACAAATGCTGTCTATAATAATAACAAGGGGATTTGGAATTAAACAGTAATAAGCACTTCCATTTTGTGTAATAGATCTCACATATATTCACAACATACACAGATACACCCACAGTGTAATCTGTGACTGCATTAAATGCAACAGGACTGCACAATGACATATCTCATTTTTTGGACAACAGATAGACCCAATATCTAGATTCAAGGTTTTTTTTCTGGTTGAAGAGATGCCAGTTCAAATCTTGGGCCAACAGCCTATGAGTTTGGATTTTTTTAAATGCTATGACAGAGATGCGAGAATGCATCTAGAAATTGATAAGGATTTTTTTATCTGCGTATCTGTACTTTAAAATAACTACCTCCAAGGTCAACATTTTATTAAATTATTTTCAATCTAAAGAAAGTGCTGTAAATAATGCAAACTCCTGAAAAATAGGAGTTTCTACAGGAAATACAGACAAACACAGACCTAGCTTCAGTGGATGCTAGTATACTACTGTACATTTTCTCTTGGATTTAACAGAGCAAGTAAATCAAATCTAGAGCTTTAACTCCTACAGAGTGTTACTGATGAAGACAAGGACATGAGTTATTTGAGTAAGTAATCATCACCCATACCAGCCATGTCATTTCACAACAGGCTCTGCAGGCGTAGAGTTGGAAAGATCTCCATTGCTTGCTTTACCAGATTCGTCTAAGAAAATAAAAAATAAAGGCATAGATCATGTTTAACACTTCAAAGCAAAACTTCTCAAATCCTAGCATATATATACCATGTCACAGCAACATCTCATGCAGTATTTCATGATCAGCATATGCAACATGACATTGCAGCACAAGAAGTCCTGGCCCTATGAAGAAATTCATATTTGGGGTGAAAGGTTCTTCAACCAGCAGTACTTGTCTCAAAATTACATATACAGTGCCCATACATTTTTCAGAGTCCAAGTCCAAATATCATGGTAGAGGACATAGATATTACCATGTTCAAAACCTTCCACTCTGGTATGCATTTCCAGCTTTTCCCACGGCATAACACATTGCCTGGGGAACCGAACAGGTACCACAACAGAGAATATTTAACCTAAAATATAATTAGCTGATGGTCTCCAAAATGGTCTTCTACAGACACCAGAGCAGCAGGTCTATTCTTCCCACACTGCTTGGAGTTCTTCAGATTTATTTCTTTTTTTTTTTTCTGGCACAGAATATTTATCTGAGCAACTTCACTGAATACGATCAAATGTAAATTCATGCTAAAAGAGTTTTTCTTTACAAACTGTTTTTCTAGCACATAAGAAAACTGATCTTTTTCTCTAGTGACTATAATTTCACAGGTTACTTGTGGCTTTGTCAGAACTACAGTGGGGAATTATTTCCAATTCAGTTTTTAATATAATGTTCCCTGAATTTCTAAGTAACTTGTGACCAAACTGCATTTCTATATCTTGATCCTTAGGTGCGCTCTCATTTCTTTGGAAAGAATTTTCTCAAGAGAATCTTTCAGCATTCATGAGGGAGAATACACAACCAGGAATAGAAATGCAAAACACCATAATATTACCTAGTCAAGAGACACACCACAAATTAAGATCTTACCCTTTGAATACAAAATTCAGTGGGAGACCAAGCATATCATAAACATCTGAATATCTACACTAACTGCATCATCTGCTATATAAGTTGAAAACCAGCTGGTACAACAGGTGAAACTTTATTTAACACCACCAGTCAGCACTGGTAATTGAAGAGGTTAGTATGATGCTGAAGTTACTGAATTTAATATTACTGCAAGTATGCAATTCTCCCTGTCCCAGGCTTTTTTTGCCAATTGGGTCTTCTATGGGGTTGTTTTTTTTCTCCACACCCCAGAAGCCCAGGTTGAAATTTACCTATTCCAAAGAAGGAGTTCTTGAGCTGTTCTTGCTGAGTTTTAATCACCCATATCACATAAACCTCTCTCTGGAATACTCAATCAACCTATATGCAAGAAAGCGTCTTTGAAAAAGAAACTCTATTAAGGCACACAGTCTCATTAGCTAAAATATTCTACATATAAGATTCACTCACCTTCTTTTTCTTTCTTTTCCTGACTTTCTTCTGCTGCAGTTTTATCTGCTCTGAAAAAAATTCTTGCACTACTTAGTGAGAAATAAAGGAGTTCAAATTCCTAAGGGAAAAGATAAAGAAGAGCATCAGTGTATCACAAATTTGTAAACAAATATCAATGGGACTTTTCATGAGCATCTTAGGCACCTAGAATTCAGTATCTAAATCACTTCAATGCTTTTGAAAATTTTCTTCCTTTCATAGCTTATTCACATGCATTTTACAAAGAAAATGTCAAATTCCACTAAAGGGCAACTTCAGCAAAGCAGCATTACTGCAATAAATTTGTCACTGATCTACTGAGGCTGAAAATGAGGCTTGTAGCAGCAGTGAGAACTTAGAGCAATTTGCCTATGGAAAATCAAGCAAACCAGTAATTTAAACTACAATCTTCATCAGTGTCTGAACAAGGTTCAGTGATGTGTTTTTTTAACACAGAGGACCAAACACAGCGCATA